CAGGTTTCCTTTATGACATAGTTTGTGCATGCACTCTGCCACTATTTCCAGACATTTGATGTTTCTTCGAATAACAAATTTAACTCTTTTTAAAAAAAAAAAAAAAAAAAAAAAAAAAAAAAAAAAAAAAAAAAAAAAAAAAAAAAATTTAACTCTTTTTTTAATAACATACTTTACCTAGATTTAAATGTGGGTGGTGAATCACCACTGGTGATATATCGACTATTTTTAAAACAAAATTATCTGCTGCATTAGTCAAAGTTTTCTAAAATATACCCCCTCAGTTCTAAGTAATGTATTTTTTAGAGTTTCCATACATATTAAAAATTAATTATAAATGTAGAGAAATTTGCAGCTATAACCAACAAAAAATTTATATAAAAAAAAATAAAAGGAAGATAAGAAAATCTTCTCTCTGAAAAAGACGATCACTTAGGCGACTCTTTACAACTTCTCCGTTACACCGTTGTTTCCGGCCGGCGTTGGCTTCTCCAACGTCGGTCGGCTTTTCCCTTATGTTTAGATTTTTTTTTTTTTTTTTTCTTCTCTTTGCATAGATCTAGATGAATAAATTAGAAATCTGCAAATTCCAAATCCATGCCGATTGGGATGCAATGATGTCTCTCCCTCCGATCTTGTCACCAATTCAATCGCAAGGTTGGGTGGTGTTTCACAATACCCAGACCTTGTCGCTACACGTGGGAAGGGTGGATCCGAGAGCGGTTAGTTTTGTTTCGTTTCACAACCCATCAACGGGGTTGAAGTTTTCTATTCAATATTGCTTTATTTTTCTCTTCTTTCGGAAGAAGTTTGTTTCCGGTGGTCCTTATCACCGTCGTCATCTCCGGTTGTCAACCGATGAAGTTTCTCCTAATCTATGGTTTGGAGAAGTCATTTGGGTATTTGATCCGGGAATTAATAGACAAATCCTCCTGATTGAAGGAAGTGGCATTCACGATAATATCCTCTGGTCATGGATACTGTCCGATGATGGTGATGTCCATATTATCCCTCAATTGGATTACTCAGGTTTTATGGAAGAGCAAATCATGGTCACTAACCGACAACGATGGATAAGGCGTTATAAAAGACATGATTCAGAACCATTTCAAGCAATATATCAGTGTGTTCGTTTATTCAAAGTGATGCGGAAAGCATTTGGAAATTTCATCTACAAGATGTTAGCCTTTTACGAGTATATGAAGAGGGTACTTAACAGATGTCATCTGTTGCCTATAAGGCTTTCGTTTGGAAAGCAGGGTTACTTCCACTTCTTCATCGAAATTGTGTTCAATTTCTTTTATTTTATTCAATGGTTGTATTTTAATGGTTCATGTATCATGTATGACGTAACACTTTTATGATATAATATAATTGATTTGCCGTTAAAAAAAAACCAACAAAAAATTTATAATTAAGAAACTGACATCTAACAAAAAAAAAAAGTTGATATTCTATATATCTTTTATATTAATTCCAATTATGCCCTATGTGAATAACACGCTCTTCGCCCATCTCTCTTCTCTCTTCTCATCATTTTTTTTTTCCAGAATCTCTTTCCTTGCGTTGACTTGAGTTTAACATCAACTCCTTCTTTCTTTATTTCTCTGCCTCTCTGTCGTTTGTTACTGTCACTCTCTCGATCTGCCGCGACTCCTTCATTCTCTCCTTCTCACAAGCACCATAAGAACTCCCATTCGATCCATCTAATTCAGCGCCTGAACCAGATCTTTCTGATTCAAATCGACAAGCATTGATTTTGAATCATGAACTTTGTTGTTGGGTTCTTTATTTAACAATTGAATGGTATTTCTTCTTCAATTTGGGTTCGGGTAAAGGATGTGTGGCGACAATTTTGGGTTTTAATCTTTATAAGTACAATTTTGGATCCCATGATTTTTTTGCATTCGGTGATTACAATAGAAAATGGTTTAATTTAGAAGCTTTGGTTCTATGGAACTCTTAAGGATGCGATTACACCTATTACTATACTGTTTAACTAGATTTTAACCTGCGGTACACCGCGGGTTAAAACAGTATAGTAAGTAACGCGGGATGATTTAATTTTAAAGTTAGTATAAAAATATTTTGTAAATTGTATCTCCTTATTTATTTATTTATATTATAGTTTACAATTGTTATTAAGTAACGGTATACCACGAGTCCACGAAATAATTATTAATAAACTGAGGATTTAACCCGTATTAAAACGGTATATAAATATTGATTCAAATTCGTTCGCCATATAAATCATTTCCGAAATATAACCCGTTCTGTAATTTCTTAACTCGTCCTGTGATTTGTATTAAAAAAAATAAGGATTAAATCCGTATTGAAACGGCGGATTAATGATATTTTATTTTTTTTATTATTGTTGATTCAAAAACCCGTCTCGCCAAAAAACTCATTTATTTTATTAATGTTTTTATTTATGATATGATTCTGAATCATTGTCTAAATATTTTAATCGATGTAGAACGTTGAACACACATTTTCGTCAATTGGATAATATATGTCCGTTTTTAAAATTTCGAATCACAGTACATGCAGAAAAAAAATTGATTTTTTTTTTACTTTATGTATTATATGATGATTCAAAACAGTTAAAAACAAATCAAACAAAGATGATAGGAGAATCATAATTATAAATCTTAATCAAATCTTCTAAAAATCTAAATTATTAAATATGGAATATCCGGTGTATGAGTTAGGTTAAATATAATCCGACCCAACAAATTTTTTGTGAAGGAATTTTTAAAATGGGTCGGATATCCGATATACCCGAAAGCTTTTTTACCCACCGTCACAAAAAGTGCTGCGATTATACTAGTATAGATTAAATTCTATACTAGTATAGATTAAATTCTATACTATATGTAGTTTAACACTTTGTTGGTAGTTTATGTCTAGTAGAACAACAACAATTTAAACACATGACTGTCTTGTCTTGTTTAGTGATTAGGTGTTTGAACTATGAGCAATGTTTCGACTATTGAAGGTGTTTAAATTGGTTGTAAATTAGTGAAAAAATGTTCTCTTTTACTTGTAATTTAATACTATACTATTTTGTAGATTTGTAACATGTAAATAATGACTTTGTAATACTATTTATTCAGTACGAGTGAAAAATCGACAAGATTACTTGTATTGTTATACTCTTTTATTTGAACACACCATTTACAAGATATATAGATAGAGTTACGGTAATACTTTTTAATTTGAACAAATATATGCTATTCTATATTTTTTTGGTTAAAGTATGCTATTCTATATAGTATATAATGTGATGATATATGCTAATAGAACTTGGTGCCACTATTCATCTCTTAAGAAATTCGTTTCCGATTTTTAAAATTCAAATCATGTTATATAAACAAAAAAATCTGTTTCTTTAAATAGTATTACAAACTTTAACCAAGTAATATTGTCAGATTAACACAATAAACAAGATTAGTAAGGGTGAATAACTGAATATATATGTGTTATCATATGCATATTTCTCTCTCTCTTTATATGTAGTTTTCTCTCCATCTGTGCAATTGTCCGGAGGCTAAAATCGTCATTGCATAAGGTCCATATGCTATTCTCTTACTTTTTTAATTTATGGTGCTATATTCTTAAATATTTTATCAAAACTGGTTATTCACTTAATTCACCCATAAATGTATTATTTTTTGTGATTTATAATTTTTTATAATTCTAAACCAATAGTATTCAATAATTTTTTTAAAACAATTTAACATTCACCAATAATACCTAATATTCACCTATCTTTTTGAAACAAAAGTTTTTTCTAGAAAATAGATTAATAAGAAACATAGGGAATATAAAATAGAAAAAAAAATTATTTAACTAATTGATAAAAAATTTGTGTATTTTTATTTGTAATGTAATGCCCACTAGATTTTTGAGACTTATTTGCGTTTAATGTATTGAATTCTAATTAATATTTGAAACTAGATTTAGTTGTAGTAATTTAAGACTCCAGTAGTCAATAGTTTAAATTCTTGTATTCAGATATAGAAGTTGATTAGCAGAGAAAACACACTATTGCAGATTATTGATATAAAGTTTATGAGAGGTTACAGACTTACAGCATATTGCAGATAGAACAGTTTGGCGTGCTCTTAAGTGTGTTGCGAACAGAGATGTCTATCATGAATATATCGCAAGTTAAATCATGTGTTGTGGATCCGTGTATTGGTGGAAAAACTGCCACCGTGGAATCGTCCGAGAAGCTATACATAAAATCAACTATTTATGAATATATATGATGTAACTAAAAGACAACAAAAATGATTGAAGTTGCTATGAATTAGATTACTTTGTAGGACATCATCAGGGCTCTCAATCGTTCAAAGGAGTGTCCTGCAATTATAGGACACATTTGAGTCTTGTTGAGCTACACGGAAAATCGATCTCATTGGCTATCCTCGTTTTATTTATTTTTCCTCTTTAGAGTGATGCTTTGGGTTATTGCTTCCTACACGGAATGATGTTAGTGAAGTTGGTTTCTTTGCATCTTTGAAAATTCAACCAATACGCGTTTTGTCAAGGTTTTGTGGGGGCCAAAAGTTCTTAATGGGTTAACGTCTCACAGCTAATACTAGACATTTCATTTATTTGTGTTTCACCATCACTATCTTTTTCACATTTTATTATGCTATTGTCAAATCTTTTGTTATGACTAAGAAGTTTATGGTCAATGAGTCTTTTCTTTTGTAAAACAGGATAGTATATGTTACTTTCGTTTTTATCCTTTTTATATCTTAAAATAAGATTTAACACATTCTGCTTGGGTTTATAAAATTCCAATTTTTTGTAAAGTATAAGTTTTGTTATGAAGTATGTATTTTATAAAATTCTAAATATTTCGTTTTTAAAAGTAGCAAAGAAAGCAAAATTGAAAAAATGTTTTTTAAAAAGGCGAAAACCAAAAATGGTATGGCAAAAAGAGCATTTTGTGTAATAATCCCTATTTTGTTGTCTGTTTGGAGTCTTTGAAATGTCAAGGCTGGCAGGCTATACAAAAAATATAACAAAGCTCAAAAATCGATTATTATACTTAGCCATAACGAAGTAGTAGTACATCAAAGAAACAAAAAAGCTGTTATCAAAAACAAAAATGGGGAAAATCCTCTGTCTTTCTCTTCTACTTGTCCTTCAAACACTCCATGTTGTTAACGCGGTCAAGTGTTTCGGAAGCTCCTTCAACGTTAACAGCAGTTACGCTCAGAATCGCCCGAAAGTGTTCCCTACTCTTGCTGATAAAGTCGTCACTAACGGCGGATTCTACAACGCTTCACTCGGCCAATCTCCCGACAGAGTATATGCTCTTGTCATCTGCGCAAGAGGCTACGACAAAGACGCTTGTTACAATTGTGTCCCAATCATTGACTCAGAACACACAAACAGAATGTCGAAGCCGCATGGATTCGTTCATATGGGGAGGCAATGACGATGTAACTTGTCTTGTACGTTCCTCAAACCAGTCCACTTTTGGGAACCTCCAGCTTAAACCTCCTGTTGTATGGCCAAGTCCAGATAATATCGAGTCATCTAAAAACTTGACTCTTTTCGAACAACAGTGGGAAGAAATGGTTAATCGGACCCTCAAGGCTGCCACAGAAGCTGCAACTTCCTCGGTACTTAAGTACTACAGCGTCGAAAAAGCCGGGTTCACGGAGTTTCCAGATGTTTACATGCTGATGCAATGCACACCCGACATAACTTCCCGAGATTGCAAGCAATGTTTGGGAGATTCCGTGATGTATTTTAGAAAAGATTATATGGGAAGAAAAGGAGGCATGGCTAGTCTTCCAAGCTGTTATTTCAGATGGGATCTATATGCTTTCCATAATGCTTTTGATAATGTAACCAGAGTTCCTGCACCTCCTCCTCGACCTCAGTCTCAGGAAAAGCAGAGCTGCATAACAGAGAAAAAAGGTAAAACATATGAGTTAAAGCATTGCCACTTTTTTTTTTTTTAACCAGGGGTGATTCGGGCTTTTACCGCCCGACTAATCCCCCCAGGGTGAGACACAATTTGTTAGTATGATTAAGAGGTTGATTCTCAGACAGAAATGGTTGAAAATTTGCAGGAAAAAGCATTGGGTATGGCGGAATTATCGCAATAATTGTGGTTCTTACTTTTATAAATATCTTGGTGTTTATTGGCTTCATCAAAGTCTATGCACGGAGGGGGAAATTAAATAATGGTAAGTGTAACTTGCTTCAATCAACCTTATTATGTAGAGAGTAAGGCTTATGTTTTTTTCTTTTTTCTTTTAGTTGGGAGTGCAGAGTACTCTGATTCTGATGGTCAATTCATGTTACGGTTTGATATTGGTATGATCTTAATGGCAACTGATGACTTCTCTTCTGAAAATACGCTTGGCCAAGGTGGATTTGGTACGGTCTATAAGGTAATATATATAATAACCTTTTTCCCTAATAATGAGTTCTTGATCAACCTTGGTCTTTTATGGGTAATTAAATCTTGAAAATGAGTTTCAGGGGACATTTCCAAACGGGCAAGAGGTAGCGGTAAAGAGACTAACAAAAGGATCAGGACAAGGAGATATGGAGTTTAAGAATGAGGTGTCACTCTTGACAAGACTCCAACATAGGAATCTAGTTAAGCTTCTTGGGTTCTGTAATGAAGGAGATGAAGAGATTCTTGTCTACGAGTTTGTCCCCAACTCAAGTCTTGATCACTTTATCTTTGGTGAGCCTTCGAAAGACAGCTCCCAATTTGGATATATTTAGAACTTTTAGCAAACTAAAAATGTACTTTGAACTCTGCAGATGAAGACAAGCGTTCTCTTCTTACATGGGAGGTGAGGTTCAGAATTATAGAAGGCATTGCTAAAGGTCTTCTCTATCTCCATGAAGATTCTCAGCTGAAGATTATTCATAGAGACTTGAAGGCAAGCAACATACTTTTAGACGCAGAGATGAACCCTAAAGTTGCGGATTTCGGGACTGCTAGGCTGTTCGACACCGATGAGACTCGAGCTGAAACAAGACGAATAGCTGGAACCCGGTACGAATATATCAATTGGCCTTGAAGACACATTTAAATGCTCTGTTTTTTTCAGATATTTAAATGGATCATGAATTAATGTCATTGGTTTACATATTTGCAGCGGATATATGGCTCCCGAATATCTGAATCACGGGCAAATCTCGGCTAAATCTGACGTTTATAGCTTTGGTGTTATGCTTCTAGAGATGATAAATGGTGGAAGAAACAATAGCTTTGAAGGAGAAGGACTTGCAGCTTTTGTAAGCATTTTCACATATCAGTCTTTTATTCCATTTCCTTAACTTCAAACCTCTGTGTAAATGGAAGACATGGGTTGAAAGAAAAACATATATATTTTTATTTGGTGCAGACATGGAAGAGATGGGTTGAAGGAAAGCCTGAGATTATAATTGATCCTTTATTGATAGAAAATCCAAGAAACGAGATCGTCAAGTTGATCCAGATTGGATTGTTGTGTGTTCAAGAGAATGCAGCAAAGAGACCAAACATGAGCTCTGTAATAATTTGGCTTGGCAGTGAGACTATCATCATTCCTTTACCTAAAGCTCCTGCTTTCACTTGGAGTCGATCCCAATCTGAAAGTGGTGCAATGTCAATAAGCGACGATGTCTTCACAGAGTTGAGTTGTCGTTAAAAGATAAATCAGTTAATCAAAATGTTGTTTCTGAAACTGAAGGCAAACTATACATTATTGTATCTTGTTAGTTGTTTATCTTGATCATTATCATGATCAAGGAACCTTTCATTGTATTTTGTGGTCTTGAGATATTTTCCCTTTTGGCAAATAGACAGTTAATGTTTGAAGTCTTTACATTCTAAGCTTTTGTAAGCTTCTTCACATATCACTTTTGCTCCATTTTCTAATTTTTTAAAACCTCTGCCGAGAAAGTAATTAAGAACATGCGTTTTCTCTGAAGAGATAGCTTGAAGGAAAACTTGAGATTGTAATTGATACTTTGATCCAGATTGGTTTGTTGTGTGTTCAAGAGAATCCAACAAAGAGACCAACTATGAACTCTGTAATAGCTTGGCTTGGTAGTGAGACAATCACTATTTCTTTACATAAGGCTCTTTGTCAGAGGACCTGCCCAAACTATTTCGAACTTTATCCAAGATAGAATATACCACTATACCACAGGCTACTTGGACAAAATAATACCTTTTAACTTTAAATATGGCTACTTGTACAAAATAATACTCCCTCTATTTCATATTATTAGTTGTTTTGCATGAATGCACACATATTAAGATTTCTTTTGCTTTTTGTATTCTCTATAAAATTCATTATTTTGTCTAAGCAATTAATACGTGATTCAAAGCTTTGGAAGCTTTCAGTAATAAAGTGAATCTAAAAGTAAAAACTTTTTGTCTTGGTTTTGAAAAACAACTTACATTTTGAAACAAAAAAGAAACCTCTAAAACAACTAATAATTTGAAAAAGAGGGAGTACCTTTTAACTTTAAATATGTATTTGTGATGCCTAAAACACCGGTTTCATGTGCTTTAGCCATGGGCCGGGCCTGGTTTCTATTTTCACAAGAGATCAATTGATTGAAAATAGTACAATGTCAATGTGAAAGGTCTTCACAGAGTTGAGTTGTCGTTGAATTCAGTTAGCTAATTCAAATGTTGTTTTAAAGGTATAATTGTTGCATGTGTCATCTAATACAAATACTTTTAGATATTTTGAGTGAATGTAAGGAGGGTAAAAAATTGTATGAATTATTTCTACAAATTTTGTTTAAAAATTATTTTGATCAATACTAATTAATATTATAGAGGTAATAAAGTAAAGGAAATCTTGCAAGATATACCACTTTCTCACGATTTCCTTCAAAATCTACCACAATTGGAAAAGCTTTTTTGTTTCTACCACATTTCTTTGCCATGTGATAAATTGTGGACGAATTTGTCCTTGATGGCGACGGACTGTTGTGTTAGAAAAAGGGACAGCTGCATTAATTGCACTCGGAGATAATTTTTGTTACATTCGGGGAAAAATTTTATTACACTCGGGACCATTTTTTTTTCCCAAAACTAGTAAAAATAATTTTAAAACAAGATATAGTCATAGACATGGACGTAAACGCATCTTTCGATAATAATTTCAGAAGAAAGAAAAACAAAAAATGGGGACAACGTGAATCGAAAGAGATAAACAATGATTTTCGGAAAATCAAAGGACTAAATCGGAAGATAAATAAGTATGAACAAGAAATCGAGAGGAGTACAATTACCGGGGAGGACCTAGATCCAATTTGATGAATAATTGATAAGACTGGATCTTGCGACTGCGATATTGCCGAAGACGACCGAGAGAATTACAATCGCCGGGGACGATTTAAAATTGATTTGGTAATGATTTTAGATCGAATGTGTAATAGAATTAGATCGGAGACAAGTTCAGATAAACTGGGTAATAGAATTAGATCAGGGGCAAGTTCAGATCGAATGAATAATAGAATTAGATCAAGGAAAAATTCAGAAAATGAGTAATATAATTAGATCGGAGACAAATTCAGACCGAATGTGTAATAGAAATAAGATCGAGAACAAGTTCATATCGAATGAGTAATAAAATTAGATCGGGAACAATTTCATATCGGATGAGTAATAGAATTAGATCGGGAATAAGTTCATATCGAGTGAGTAATAGAATTAAATCGACGGCAAGTTCAGACCGAATGCGTAATAGAATTAGGTCGTGGACAAGTTCAGATTGAATGATGAAGAATTGAAGATGATGAAGACACAATAATCAAGAAAAACAAAGAGAAAGAGAATGTGAGAAGAAAAAAGTAAGGATAAAATAGTATTTTGAAATGAAAATGTGTTAGATTTAGAAATGAGGTAGAGAATGTGGTAGATTTGGAAAGAAAAAGAAAAAAAATATAGTTTATATAAAAATATATTAATTAGTTTTGTTTGAATAAAAAGGTTTTGTGTTTTCATGGTAAATAAAATTATTTTACTAGTACAGAGAAATGAAAAACGATTAGTATAAATTTTCTCTTGTATTTATTATAGCTTAAATAATAAACTTCAATAATTATTTTTAAATGGACACAATTTTTATATATTTTAGGGAGATTGACACAAATAGCACTAAAATAAGTTTTTCTTCCAAAAATAGCAGTACATTTGAAAAGTTCCACAAATAGCACTATAAAATTTAATTAAATACTAAATATGAATAATTAGTTTAATTAAAAAATAAATAAATAAAATTAAAAATTTCCCGCCAAAAATTAATTTTCCCGCCAAAATATTTTTCAATATTTTTCCGCAAAAAAAATCCAAGGATTTCTTGAATTTCAGGAAAGGATCCCTTAAAAGATTGCACAAAATTCAAGAAGGATTCAACGAAATTCAGGAATGATTCTACGTAATTCAGGAAAGATTTCATGAATTCATGAATTTCGGGAAGGATTCCATGTAATTCAGGAAGGATTTCCCGATTCGTGAAATCCTTCCTAAATTACGTGAAATCCTTCCTAAACTTTGTGGAATCTTTCCTGAATTTTATAGATTTTTTGTGGCGAGAAAAGTTGAACGGAAGGATTTCTTTAAGGATTGCACGAAATTCAGGAAGGATTCAACGAAATTCAGGAATAATTCCACGTAATTCAGGAAAGATTTCATGAATTTTAGGAAGGATTCCACGTAATTCATGAAAGATTTCATGAATTTTAGGAAGGATTCCACGTAATTGAGGAAGGATTTCCCCATTCGTGAAATCCTTCCTAAATTACGTGAAATCCTTATTAAATTACGTGAAATCTTTTTAAAATTTCGTGGAATCCTTCTTGAATTTCTTGGATTTTTTTTGTGGGAAAAGTCGGACGGAAATTTTTTTTGCGGGAAAATGTTGACGAAATTTTTTTTTACCGGTAACGAAAAATATTTTGGCGGAAAATTTCAACGAAAATTTTGACGGGATTTGGTTTTGGCGGAAAAATATTAATGATGAATTTGTGATTTTTTATTTATTTTTATTATTTATTAATTTAAAAAAATAAAAATAAAGTGCTATTGTTGTCTAATAAACTCTGAGTGCTATTCGTTACCTAAAAACTTAATTTGAGGTTATCAAAGGCAATTTCTCTATATTTTATTAGTAATATTATTGGTCTATAAAAATTAAATTAATATTAGTTGTATATGTGTTAAATATTGCATATATAATAAATGTGACACAATAAAGTAAGTAAAATAAGTTATGCTTTTATATATATAATATTATAATATATATATATATACATATATATATGTGTGTGTGTATGCTAAAAGTGTAAGAGAGAAAAATGTAAAAAAAAAAAAGATCTTGTATTTTTTTTTTCTAAAACTCTAAATTAAAGGCTGTAGAAAAATAGCTACTATAGTCACACAAAAAAAATTACAGTAGCTTTAGAAATCATGATTGATTGGTTGATTTTTTGGGCTGTAGGAAAAAAAATATGTTGTAAGTAGTGCCTACAGTCCAACCAATCATCACCTTACTTTGAACATAAATATAAAGAAGTTTTTTCTTTCTTTTTGTTTAAAATATAATATAAGGAATTATTCTGAATATTTTCACATTAATTTCCAAAACGGAATATATCATGTAACTAATGTAGTTCTCCCTAATATATTTCTTCTAAATATATTACCTAAACAACCAAAAAATTTCAAAGTTGATTTCAATTTTATTTGACTAATAAACTGAGGAAACACATTTTTTCTGACCAATTAAGTATCAATTCCTAATTTGCATATCAATCAAACAAAGTTTATTTCAGCTTACTTGATTCTTAACTTACTCTTAACAGAAATATATGGAAGGTTTTTTCCTTTTTGTTCAAAAATACAATATAAGGAATATATACTAGTATTTTTGGTGACGGGTGGGTAAAAATGATTCCGGATTATTTGGATACCCGACCCGTTTACAAATACTGGTCATAAAAATTTTGTTGGGACGGGTTATATTTAACCCAACTCATACACCGGATATTCTATATTTAATAATTTAGATATTTTGAATATTTGATTAAGATTAAAAATTATGATTCTCCTATCAACTTTGTTTGATGTGTTTTTAACTATTTTGAGTCATCATATAATACATAAAGTAAAAAAAAAAAACAATTTTTTTAATAGTATATACTGTGATTCGAAATTTTAAAAACGGACATATATTATCTAATTGACGAAAATGTGTGTTCAACCTTCTACATCGAATAAAATATTTAGACAATGATTCAGAATTATATCCTAAATAAGATCAACATTAACAAAATAAATGAGTTTTTTGGCGGGACGGGTTTGGCGGGACGGGTTTTTGTATCAACAATAATAAAAAGATTAAAATTTTATTAATCCGCCGCTTCAATATGGATTAAATCCTTAATATTTTTTTTAAATACCATCAATATTAGACATATTAAACTAGTCTCACTTAGAAAAGATTGTATATACCCAAATTTTCTCGTGGTATAATGTTACTTAATAACAATTGTAAACTATAAAATATAAATATCTTAGAAAATGAAAAAATTTGTAAACTTTTATATATAATAAATAATCGTTAAATTTTAAAAATTACAACTTTTAGAAATCAAATCACGGGACGGGTTAAAAAGTTACAGGAAGGGTTATATTTTGGAATGAAGTTATATGGTGGACAAGTTTGAATCAATATTGATAAAATTTTAAACTATGCCGCTTTAATACAGATTAAATCTTCAGTTTATTAAAATTTAAATATCTTAGAGAATGATATGATTTGTAAACTTTATATATAATAAATAATCATTAAATTTAAAATAAAAGCAAATCATGGGACGGGTTAAGAAATTACGGAACGAGTTATATTTCGGAACGGGTTTATATGGCGGACGAATTTGAATCAATATTTATAAATATCATTAACATGCCGCTTTAATACAGGTTAAATCCTTAGTTTATTAACAATTGTCTCGTGGACTCGTGTATACCGTTATTTAATAACAATTGTAAACTATAATATAAATAAATATTTTATAAGGAGATACAATTTACAAAATAATTTTATACTATTTTTAAAATAAATCATCCCGCGGTGTACCGCGGGTTAAAATCTAGTTTTCTTAAGTATATCTACATTAACTCCTAGAAAGAATTATATCTACATACCTAATATAGTTCTTTCTAATATATTTTTTTCTAAATATATACTTAAACAAAATCCATTGCAACCGAATATTTTTAAAGTTTGCTTTAAATTTTATATCATACCAAACAAAGTGTGTTTTTTTTTTGGGTCAAATCCGTAACTTTTCCGCCAAAAACGTAAATCCGTAACTTTTCCGCCAAAAACGTAAATCCGTAATTTTCCTGCGAAAAAAATGACAATTTCTAACCAACAACAAGAATGGACAATTTTCCCGCCAAAAACATAAATCCGTAATTTTCTTTCAAAAACGTAAATCCGTGATTTTTCTGCCAAATATTTTTACAGTTTTTAACTAAAAACGATAATATTCAATTTTTCCGCTAAAAACGTAAATCCGTGATTTTCCCGCCAAAATATTGACACCGCTAAGTGCTGCCCATACCCGCATATCCATTTGTTCTTGAATGGAAGCGTAAATTTTCTTGAAGCAAATACTTTGCTTACACCATTCAAAAGCTATACGGGTTTTTTAGACTTTCTAACAAGCGATAGAAATTCTTATAAAAATCAGTAAAACATATTTAGAACTTCTAAAACTTATTTAAATGGACTTCTAAATATATATTTTTACTGGTGAAATAGAAATATTTTATATAAATTATTTTTCACCAATATAATGGATGAAAATTCACATAATAACATATTATAAACGGAATACCATAATATATTGTTCGATTTTTATTTTTCTTATCACATTATCCATATAGGATAAGCAGTACATAATATAGAGAGCAAGCATAAAAAAAAAAAGATAGAAACCAAAGTCCTCTTAGTACTTGTGACCAAGAGTGAGTTCAAGGGACAATCCTTCTTCACCAATTACACCACCACCAGCGACAACGACATCATTGTCTCTGTTTTCATTGAATCCCACCTGCATAAAATATACATTTATCTAGATTCATAGGCATCGAATCTATATGTTTATGATCATGCATGATAGTAATGTAAAAAATACAAAAAGAAAAAAAATTACTCTTGAAGATTGATAGAGAGACTTGTTACTCGATCCCAAAGATGATGTTATCTTCTCAGTATTATCCAACTGTAGCCTATAGAAAAAAAACAAAATTACTAACCAAACCAAAAAAAACAATTATATGAAAATCTAAGTTAATACATGAACATAAGTACCTTTGATGATTTTGGATAAATTGGGTAGCACGTTCATAGATTTGAAGGTATTGTTGAGATTGCCTCCGCTTCATTTCATGTATCATTCTCCTTGCTGCCAAAGGATTGGATATAAACTCACTATGCAATATATTGAACATCAAAATATTGCCCTATGCAAAGTTATACTACAAGCATATTTATTAAACTTTAAGTTAATTAAAGTGTAAGATAGTTATTTTACCTTTAATAGATTCTGCTTCCTTCTTTTTCCTATACATCTATTGAAAATAAACATATATATTTAATTCAGTACACACCATCTCAGATAATACAATTTATAACACTATACATTGATGCATATACAGGTTTTACAGATATATCGTATATAGCGGGTTGATAATTTGTGTATAAATTATAAAGACCTGGAGATGGCTTTTCACATGTGATATTGTGAGGTCTCTCACACCCATGTGACTCAAAATTTTCTTAGGAGTTGCACCTGCAAATTTAAGGAGAACAATAATATCGACTATAGTGAATCTAAAAAATGATAAAGAAAAATTTAATCATGGCAAGGATAGGTATTATAAAAGGAAAAAAAAAAAGTGTTGATTTCAATGACGAAATTTTTGATTTCTCTGAATTTATTTTAGAAGAATCGTCTTTGTTGTAGTTTTGCGATATGGAAAGAAACTGCTTACTCCTTTCGCCACCGAGGAATTCAACAACTTGAACAAAACGGATGTCGAGATCGTCGGTCCAACGCATACTCGGAAGTTTTGGCCTAATGTAAGATCTAACGATCAGATCTCGCATTGTTTTTTTTTTCTCTCGTGAATCTCTTAGTTTGATAATATTTAGAATACGCTCCTATTATTTATAGAAAAATTATATGGAAACAATATTAATAGAATTACCCAATAATTACTAAGAAGAAAATCTTTAGAGCCAATAAATGTTTTTGTTGTCACGTGTAATTTTTGATTTTAATATTTCTGTAAAAAACAAATATAAAATTGCATTTTAAGAAATAATTAATTTTTGACAGCTCCAAGTTGTCTTTTCTCTAAGAATAATATTTATAATAAATTAAAACACTAAAAAAATTAATACTGCCAGATTTGTTTCCTTTTATCCTAAGACTAATTCTATATATGCTTAATTTTATATAAATAAATAAATAAAAATCCAAAACTAATTTATGGCATAAAGCCTTGTTGTTTATTATCATTATTTTGGGCCAAATGATATAAATAACTTAAAAACCATCTAAAACATATGAATTATAAATGAATACAAATTAGTTTTAGGCGATAGAAAATGGATTTGCGAGGTGAAACCATTTTCTTACTAGTCACAAAACATTGCAGATAAAAAAATTCAGAAGTTTTCATTTTTATACAAATTTCTCGCAAAAACGAAAAAAAGTAGAATTACTTTTTTTACCAAATCAATGAAATAGCAATTTTGATGAAAAAATATCGTAGAACACAATTTTCTCGCCAAAACCATAAAATTGAGGATTTTTTGTATACCAATTTTGAAGGGAGAATTTTAACATAATTTTTTTCCCGCCAAACCATATAGTCATGGACTTGTGTATTTTTTACCAAAATTTTAAAATCAAGATTTCATGAGTTCACGGATTTTGCAAGAAAACGTAATTCCTCGGTTTCGATGGTTATTTAAAAAAATTATGTGTTTTTGTGGTTTTGGCAGAAACATGATTTCATGTTATTTTTAAAAAAACGTCATTCTATGACTTTGATAGATAAATGCTTCCTCGGTTACAAACTATTTAAAACAAAAAGGTATAAAATTAATTAAAATTGATAATTCATCTATATTAAAATATTATTTTATGAATTTTTTTCATCATTAATTGTAAATATTACGTAGTTCATCAAAAATTATTAACACAAACATATGCATATCGTTTGTTGTTACTGTGTTATTAAATTCTATATACAAGCTAAATACAAATCACAAAAAAACTTATATATCCCATGAAGCTTGGCATACATTTTAGCAAAAGATTGCAATGTGAAGCCAAATAAAATGTGGTTATTAATTATATGACTTCAGCTGTATGGCTCAGCTTGTATCCCTTGGAGGTAGTTTGAGCTCATGTATGTGCCATGTCATGCATATCCTCACTGTCTCTTGCTCATTGACTCGTGTGTTGTGTATATTTCATATATGCTTCTCGTTTCTTAAAATTAAAAGTAGATGCTTCTCGTTTCTTAAAATTAAAAGTAGACATACAATGCGTCTGCTCTACCAACATATATATATATGTGATCCATATTAGACGAATCCCATGATGTAGACCCACAAGAGAAACATTCCTCATTAGACATGAGAACTGACCAGCCCAGCTTCAAATCTATTTAATATCTCTAACAGGTTTGATTATTGGTTGCTCAAGAGGCTGCTCATCTTCATCCGATCCATAACAAAAAATCTATATCAAATTTAGTTACCGAACTCATCATACAAGCTACAGTCCATCTTTATGTAAACCATGTCGAGAAATAGCTTTATCTGGGTTTACTATACCAAAACTGAAACATGTTAGCCCCTACAAGTTTACAGAAGGAGATAGCGGTCTAGGGTTTCTTATTTTGGTAGTTTACTATTTTACTTTTATACTTATAAATTAACTTGGGGGCTTCAACCATCTAAGCTGCTCCTTAATTCTATTTTGTAGTCAGTAAAATATCTATTATATATTTGCCTTTTGACGAATTTCTTTGCAAAAACAAATCTCAGATTCAAACATAGTGATTTATAGAACATATGGGCTCCAGAACTCTAAGATTTAAAGAGGAGACAACGAAACGCAATGGAAGTAAGAAATTGATCCGCTTGAAGAAACAAGAGAGATCAACAACACAACAGTCTGAATATCAAAACCTGGTGACAAAATCATGTGCAAAAAGTCCCGAGATAGAATTTTTGCGTAGTTTCCATCAAAGTGTCTAAGATAACACCAAGCAAAGCTAGAATCAACCGAAAACTTAAGCTAATTTGGACTAGAGCCAAATCCTAGGTTATAATCATCCAGAAACTTACGTTAAGTTACAAAAAAAAAAAAAAAAAAAAAAAAAAAAAAAGACTAGAGCAAAACCCTAGGTTAGAAGAACTCAACTGAATAAAGTTTTGATAGAGAATCCGAGAAACGAGTTGCTTGTTCAAGCGTATCATACAAAGAGGCCAACCATCAGCTCTGTAGTAGTTTGGCTTGGCAATGAGACAACCACCTTTCCTTTACCTACAGCTCATATTTTTATTAGGAGTCTGAAAATCGTACTACCTAACATACAAATTGTCTGTGTTCAGTTAGCTATTTTTTTTTTTTTGGTGCACCTAGTTAGCTAATTCAAATGTTCTGTTTAAGGTATAATTGTTGTATGTGTCATCTAATACAAATACTTCTACATACTTTGAGTGAATGTAGGGAGCTTACAAAATTGTATGAATTATTTCTACATTTTCGTTTTAAAATTATTTTGACCAATACTAATTAATATCATAGAGGTAATAAAGTAAAATAAACTTAAAATATTGCAAAGAAGAATATGATTCTAAAATTAAAAAAAAAGGTGAAATATCTTATAAACCAATAGAGAGAGGATAAGAAATCATTTCTCCCCAATCAGATTCTTGATTTTTGATTTCGGTTACTTGATTCTTATCTTACTCTGAACAGAAATATAAGGAAGTTTTTTCTTCTTTTTTGTTAAAAAGTATAATATAAGGAATTTTTGAGTATTTTATAATGCCCATAAGGAAATAAATCTATCTACTTAATATAGTTCTTTTGTTGATACCTAATGTAGTTCTTCCTAATATATTTTTATATTTCTTCTAAATATATACCTAAACAACTGAATATTTTTAAAGTTGATTTTCTTTTTTCCATACCAAACATAGCATGGTCTACAACATATAAATACCTCTTTAGGCGATATATTTTTCCTAATTTCATTTAGAACAAAAATATAAAGAATTTTATTTCCTTTTTATTAAAAATATTATAATGCATGAGGAATTTTTCTGAATATTTTCACATTAATTCCCAAAAAGGAATATATCACGTTTGGTTTTTCATGTTTGTACATTAATTCAATTTTATCATACCAAATAAGCCTATTCTACTACATCTAAATACCTCTTTAGACTACTTATTTCTGCTTCAAAACAAGCTTGGTTTTTCATGTTTGTACCATTTTGCGACTAGTTTATATTTTTAATAGTATTGCCCATTTGCGCAACACTACGCTTACATGCATCATTCAAAAGTTGTGTTTTTTTCTTGAGAGATTCTAATCATATATATATTGAGAATTTACAAAAATTACTTAAATGGATTTTTTAATTGATTAAAAATATAAATATTTCATAAATGTAATCTTTCACCCATATTATGGATGAAATATCACATAGTAACATCTTATAAACGCACTACCATAATATATTGTTTGGTTTTTATTTTTTTGTAACCCATTATATATATGGGATAAGCAATACATAAAATAGAGAGCAAACTAAAAAGATATATAGAAGCCAAAGTCCTTTTAGTACTTGCGACCAAGAGTGAGTTCAAAGGACAATCCTTCTTCACCAATTGCAACATCATCAACCACAACAACATCATTGTCTCTGTTTTCATTTAGTCCCACCTGCCATAAAATATACATATCTATTTAGTTTATTTTGATGATCTAGCATGATTATAATGTAAGAGATGCAAAGCAAAAAAGGAAATAATACCCTTGATGATTGATAGAGAGACTTGCAAGATACTTCCATAGGTTTGTTACTTGGTTCCAAAATTGGGGTTACCTTCTCAGTAATATCCAATTGTACCCTAGAAGAAATTGAAAAAGATAGTTACTTTACTAAAGAACAACAAAAAACGATTCTACAAAAACCTAAGTAACACATGAACGGATTAACCTTTGATGATTTTGGAAATCTTGAGTAACATTTCGAGCACGTTCATAGATCTGAAGGTATTGTTGAGATTGTCTCAGCTTCATTTGCCTTATCATTCTCCTTTCTGCCATAATAGAGGGACTTATGGGTAAAATAAGATATATACTCTAAACCCAGTATGCGTTTATGTTTAACATTATTAGATTTTCCTATGCAAAGTTACAACACAAATATATCTATTAAACTTTACATTAAAGCGTATATAAGATAGTTATTTACCTTGTATAGAATTTGCTTCCTTCTTATTCCTATACATCTGTTGAAAGTATACACATATATTTGATTCAACCCAAACCATCTTAGATAATATAATTTATGACACTATACATGGATGCATATATATATATATATATATAGCTTTTAATATAGACATATTGTGTATAGCTAGCTAATAATGTGTGTATAAATTATAAAGACCTGGAGATGGCTTTTCACTTGTGACATTGTGAGGTCGCTCACACCCATATACCTCAAAATTTTCTTCGGAGTTGCACCTGCAAATTTAAAGGGAACAATAATATAGACTATAGTGAATGGAAAAATTGATATAAAGAGAAATTTAATCATGGCGAGGGGAGGTATCTTAAAAAGGAAAAAAAAAAAAAAAGAGAGATTGTTGATTTCAATGGCGAAATTTTTGATTTATTTTAGAAGAATCGTCCTTTTTTGTTTTGCGATATGGAAAGAAAATCGCTTACTCCTTTCGCCACCAAGGTACTCAACAACTTGAACAAATCGGCAGTCAAGATCGTCGGTCCATCGCCTACGCGGCATCTGTGACCTAATATAAGATCTAACGATCGAGTCTGTCATCGTTTTTTTTCGCCGGTGAAACTCTTAGTTTGATAATAATTCAGAATAGATGCTAATTATTTATAGAAAAGTTCTTGGAAAAAAATAATAATATATAATTAATGCTAGTAAATGTTTTTCTTGCACTATATCTCTATAAAGAAATATAAAATTACCCATTTTCAGAATTAACTATTTTAACAACTCCAGTTGTCTTTTATTTAATAATAATATGAATGATAAAACAAATCAAAGATACAACTAATACTACCAGATTTATCTTTTATTATTCTAAGAAATAAATCTATATATGATGAATGTTTATATAAATAATTAAGAATTCAACCAAACTAATTTATGGTATATCTATACTAGTATTTTTGTAGTCATTTTTGAGTCGGGTGGGTAAAATTGTTCTCGGATACTTTGGATACCCGACCTGTTTACAAATTTTGGTCATAAAAAGTTTGTTGGGTCAGATTATATTTCACTCAACTCATACACCAGATATTTCATATTTAATAATTTAGATATTTAGAAGAATTGATTAAGATTTAGAATTATGATTTTTCTATCATCTTTCTTTGATTTGTTTTTAACTGTTTTAAATCATCATATAATACATGAAGTAAACAGAAAAATCAATTTTTTTATGCGTATACTGTAATTCGAAATTTTAAAAACGGACATATATTATCCAATTGACGAAAATGTGTGTTCAGCGTTCTACATCGATTAAAATATTTAGACAATGATTCAGAATCATATCATAAATATAATCAACATTAATAAAAGAAATGAGTTCTTTTGCCGGACGGGTTTGGCGGAACGGGTTTTTGAATCAACAATAATAAAAAAAATTAAAATATCATTAATCTGCCGCTTCAATACGGATTAAAACCTTAATTTTTTTTAATGCCACCAATATTAGACATTTTAAATGAATCTCATTTAGAAAAGATTGTATAAAACCAAAAATTAACCCGTGGTATATTGTTACTTAATAACAATTGTAAACTATAAAATATAAATATCTTAAAAAATGATACAATTTGCAAAATTTTATATATTATAAATAATCTTAAAATTTTAAAAATTATATTATTAGAAAACAAATCACATGACGGGTTAAGAAGTTACACCACGGGTTATATTTCGGAACGAAGTTATATGGTGGACGAGTTTGAATCAATATTTATAAAATTTTAAAATATCATTAACATGCCGGTTTAATACAGATTAAATCTTCAGTTTATTAAATTATAAATGACTTAGAGAATGATATGATTTGTAAAATTTTATATATAATAAATAATCATTAAATTTATAATAAAAACAAATCACGGAACGGGTTAAGAAATTATGGAACGGGTTATATTTCGGAACGGGTTTATATGGCGGATGAATTTGAATTAATATTTATAAATATCATTAACATGCCGCTTTAATACGGGTTAAAATCCTCAGTTTATTAACAATTGTCTCGTGGACTCTTGGTATACCGTTACTTAATAAAAATTGTAAACTATAATATAAATAAATATTTTATAAGGAGATACAATTCAAAAAATATTTTTATATTAGCTTTAAAAATAAATCATCCCGCGATACACCGCGGGTTAAAATCTATATATATAATTACTTATACATACTGTATATTGAATTTAAAATTAAACTTTTATACTAGGGTTTGTAGTATATAGTTTGACTTAAACACAAAATGAGCTATAGTCAACTGAGTTTAATCACAAAACATTGCAGCCATATAGGTCTTGTATATTGTACTTTACTTACATTATATTGTTTAAATTATTTTCAAAATTGTCAGAGAATAACTATTTTTGGACATTTCCATAGTATTTATTAATTTAACATATTGAAAAATTTGTTTGTAAATATAATTTATTATATTAAATACTATACTGTAGTAACAACCTTTTAAAATTTCTCCTTATGTAAATTTCATTTAGGAAAGTTTTCTTTAAGCCAGGTAATGTTAATTAATATGTGGACCTAGATCTAAATTTGTTGCCATATATCTATATATATATTTTAAATCCATATTATTTGTTTCCTAAGAAAGGTTTTTACAAAAAAAAAAAAAAAAAAAAAAAAAAGGAAAGAGATGTTTAGATTTGAGAAAAGTTCATTTGAAAAAAATGTATGGGTGTCAAATAAAATTAGGTGTTGTTCGTTTGTGCTTCTAGATGTTGTACTGTTGTTGGTTAAATTACAATTAATTAAGCACATGAGTTGGGTAAAGCAACGAGGGAAATGGTCATGAATGTCTAGGCCGAAGGTCTAGAATACATGTGTTATAAAAAAAAAAAAAAAATTTCAGAAAAAGGACATAAATGAGTTTTCTTCTCACTAATTGACAAAGTGAATGTGCTCTTTCACGGTTTGACAATTTGGCAATTTTCAGACAAAACTGCCCTCAACTACAAAGGTAACTGCGCTTGTTCGGTTTCTCTGGTTTTGTTTTATTATGTTTTAATTTTTTTTTAATTCAAAACAATTAAAATGAAGAAGAACGACGAAGGAGAGCAGAGGAAAAATCTGAGTTGAAACCGGCGAAATCCGTTTTCCAATCTTCTATCCAATCTCTCATTCTTTATCTTTTATCCAGAGACGCTTCAAAATTCCGGCGAATTCCGTTTCGAATCCTCTTTAAATCTCTCATTCTACTTCGGTTTTCCCGAGACGAGCAAAAGCAAACAAATCTCCGACGACGAAGATACCAGAGTACAGATGACAGCGAAAAAAATGAAACTATTGAAGAAGAAGAGTCGGCACCGCTCAAATGTAGTGAAAAATTCAGAGAAGAGGCAAGTGAATAGTTCACCGGAGAAGGTAATCGAGATTCCGAGTAACCCGCCGGAGCCGGAGAGCACAAGTATGGGTAAGTTCTGTAAACACTGAATTCGATTTTAATTGGGGATGGGGATTCGGGAATCCGAAATATGAGGATACTGATTTTGAATCGAAGATTTAATCCCAAAGTATTATAATCTTCTCGGCTGAAGAATATGAATACGTCAGAATACAATGATGACGATGTACCTCCACCTTCTCACAAGGTATTTGGTTTTCTATGTTACAGGAGGAAGGAAAAGCTGGCCCTCAAACTTCTACTAAAGAAGCAGATATGCCTGACTCTAAAATTGATGGACTTGATTATGGTGTACCTTCTGACCAGGTATGTCGTGTACTACAAATAGTCAGATATTTTATTAGTGTACGTACATAAACATTTTAAATGTTTATGGTCTTTATTTCAGGAAAAAGTAAAATCTGATGGTATGAAATGAGTTTCAAATATCTGAGGATGTTCTCCCCATAAAAGAGAAGAAATCTATTAAACGATGAGTTAGTTTTGATGAGGACGCTCATAAAACTGCCTCTACAACTGAAAATCTTGTAAGTTATAGAGGCTGTTATTTATAAATTTTGTACATATATCATTAAGGTTTTTAACATGATTTTAAATTAACTTAACATTATTGTTGTTTGAAGGAGGAACCAAAGAAGGATGCAGCTGTGGAAGGAAGTGATGCTCAAATTCATGATCGTGTACACTCCACTAAATCAGTTCAAACAAAAGTAACTTATGTGGAGGACCCAGACTATCCTGATGGTTTTGGCTTAAATAAGAAAAGTTTGTAACTAACGAAATGGTTAGTTCGAAAGGGTACAATGTTTGAGATACGAAATTATGTAACCGTTTGTGGTGTAAGGTATACGTACACAGACAAGATCAAAAACCGTACATAGTTATACGATGTCAAATATTAATGTACACAAAAATACATACATAAACATACACTGTCAACACGTCGAAAAAAAACAAACACACAAAGCTAAATTGGATTCTTAAAAGTCTTATTGTTATGACCTTTTTGTCTACATTTTGTACACTGATTCGGAGTAAGTCTTTTCTGTCTTTTTTTCTGAACTTGAGAAACAACAAAAGTTAACAACAAATCATGTATATAGACATAGCATAGATATAGTCAATAAGTGTACAAGTTAAAATGATATAACTTACCCGGTTTTCACCCCTAGATGGTATCCTTTTGCAGGTTGGTCTCCCGAGTGGTCGTCTACTGTGTGGAGGAATAAGTATAATTTCCGATATATTTTGTGGGATGACAACATCCTTTGGATCCGCGATAGGTAGAATCGGTTCTTGAAAAGAATTGGAAAACGTTTGAAGGCTATACCACAAGCCAACAACAGTCTTTGGATTAATCCCAAACTGTAATGCAACTACTAGACCGTGTTCACATGGGATTCTTAACCTCGTGTACCTAAGCCACGTACGCGTACACTCGTCGAGTACGACATGGAAATGCTCACTAGACTTGCTTGTAACCTTATAACTCCAAGGTCTCGACATCTTCAGCGAATTTCTCAAACTCAGGTAATCTTAGAGAAAACGCTCATCAACCTCAAGCATCACTAAAGATTTACACTTAGCCACTTTTTTCCTCCTGGCTGCAAACCACCGCATAAGGACCTCTAGAATGAACTCTATCATGTAGAGAATAGGATATGATTTTGCTTTTGTTAACATGTTATTTATAGACTCTGAGTTGTGATATTGTAGCGTTCCCCTTTGCAGTGAGCTCTTGTCCAATGCTCAAATCCAATTTCCTCTAAGTAATTTGCGCATCCAGAACTTCTGCCCCTTAACTCTGCAAATTATTTATCAAAATCTCTCACCCTATATGCTTTTGCGGCGCCGAAGAATAATCTCGAAATATCATACTTAATATTATACGTGGATATATTTCGCTCAAGGTGTACTACATATGCTCCATGATGAGCTTTCAGGAATACAACACTGAGTCCTTTGTATATAGAAGAATGTATGTCCGAGACAATCATTAAATCTTCACTGTCTGTCTAGTGTACGCACATTGGTGCAATCCGTGTTGACACGTCCGGGTTGGATTCACAGTTGGCTGACTGTCACCAAAAATAGCACTGGTTTCTCATGTACGTACACGTTGATTTGTGTACGTACACTCTGCCAATAGACGACTGAATTCCCCTGGCAGTTCAACGGTCGGTTGAGTGTCACATACGTCCTCCTCAACATGCCAAACTCCATATTCTTCTACAATCAAATCATTCCACTTGTTGTACTCGTAATCTTCACCACTACCTTCACTGCCGTCTATAGTAGGGTCGAGAGTACTGCCCGTACAATATCCACCATTGTCATCGCCATCTTTATCAATGTTGTCGTCGCTGCCATTCAAGTCTTCCCCATACACCTCTTTGTTCTCCTCATCCTCTGAATCTTCATTTCTTTTTTCGTCCTCTGCGTCATTTTACTCATCTACATCCGCATTAGTCGCATCCACATTAGAAGGCTTTACCATGGTTTTTGGTGAGTTTTCACTCCCTGACCCAGGGTTGGTTTCAGAATCATGGCCATCCATCGTAGATATACTCTTTGCCAGTACCGTTACTTCCGTTTATAGTCGGTTCCAAGACATTCTCCTACTTGACTCATCGTCATCATCATCGTCCTCTTCCTCATCCTCTTTTTCCTCTTCTTCGTCCTCATCCTCTTTCTGTTTATCCTCTTTATTGTCATCTACTTCTTCTTCCCCATATACTTTCTCATTGTTTTCATCCACATTTAGAGCCTCCAATATGGTCTTTGTTGGATTTTCACCCCGAACCATGTTAGTTTCATCAGCCAAATCCTCCATCATGCATACACTATTTACACCACCCTTTATGGATTGGACAAAATGACATAAATATGTCAGATATTTTGTCAGTTACGTACACCGTTCAGATATTTTGTCAGTTCTGGGTTCAGTTCTTATTTTTCGAATAGGTTTGGTTTGATTCTTTAGTTTTAGGTATTTTTTTCAGCTGTAGTTCGTACATGGTTTGAATGTTTTATTTTATGTTCAAAAAATATTTTAAACTTAAATATACAAATTATTTAGATGTTTATGTATATATATGCACACAAATTACTACCGTGTACGTACACATGTGTACATGATATTGTTAATCTCAAATTATTTTCAACAACACGATTAAATTAAGAAATAAATTATTATTCAAAGTTAAAATATATGAAAATGGGTCTTCGAAGATAGAAAATAAATAAATTTTAACTAAAAGTACAAAAATAATAAATCTATATAAAATTGAAATAAGAGAAAAATGTGAAAACAAAAGAAGGTGAATAATTTTTTTTGGTAGGCACAAAAGAAGGTGAATAATAATAATAATCTTATTATATTTTTATATTTTTTATTTTTTATTTTTTATTTTTGTTTTTTACACTGTAGCTATCGAGAGTGTACTTTACATAACGCGTGTACTGTAGCTAACGAGATACTGTGTACGTAACCAAACCGTCTAACTAATTCGTCCATTGTGACTGTACACTGGTTTCGCTGGGAGGGTAAATTCGTCCGAAAATGACATAATTGTCAAAATATGAAAGCTCTCCCCCACTTTGTCAAAACGTGAAAGAAAAACATAAAACATGGGCCTGGCCCGTAATTAACCCAAAAAAAAATCCAAATATATATTGAAAACTACAAACATTCATGACCAAAATAATAAAGAGATTCCCTGGTTTATAAGAGAAATAAAATTCTAAAAAATTGAATGGGTAACTTAAATAACAAAAAAAGTTTTCTGAATCCTAGGGAAACTAATTTCTAAAAACATGACCCATCTCTTTTTTTCTTAGTTGGACTAACAGACATCAGCCATTTCACTAACCAAAATCTCTTAGTTTATGTTATAATTATTCTTGCCTAACTCATATCTCTCGGATGTTGGTAGTGCTCGTAGATACTGCGTAATTTCTCACTGCCTCCATGGTTAAAGAAATATTCACTTCCATTATTCACGGCTGTGTTCTCTTTCTCGATGCCGGATCGGATTAGGACCACGCTCATCAAGTTCAAGCTTTAACCTTCGTCCCTTACGGTTAAAGCTTGAGGGGGAGTATTAAACCTAATGAGCACAAGCCATGAAAGGTAGTGAACCGGATGAGAAGAAGCGATGAAAGAAGCTAGAAGACATCCGGTGGTTTGATCATAGCCGTGCAAAGTTCGGGTCACTTAGAAGAACATCAAGAGAAGAAGGTGCAAAATTGGTGTAAAGTCACCAAGACACCGAAGTGCAAAATTGGTGTAAACTCGTAAGAAGAGTCAAGGCCGATGCTCTCAAGACAAGGCCGAAGAATCACCAATGTGCAAAATTAGTGTCAAAGTTATCATGACCTAATGTGCATAATTGGTGTCAAAAGATTATCAAGACCGGATGTGCAAAATCCGTGTAAGATGATCAAGTAGCGGACGTGCAATGTTCGGGTCGATCAAGAACCGAGTGTGCAAAGTTCGTGTAAAGTCAAGAGGAGAATGTGCAAAGTCCGGGTCGAAGATAAAGATGTGCAAAATTGGTGTCAAACCAATCACACTAAGTAGCCCGAGATTTGAATTCGTTTAGGCGCATCAAAGGAGTCACATGTGGATAAGGTCGAAGCAACTTGCAAGGAGGACCACATGTGAGTAAGACAAACGTCTAGGAGCTGTCAACACAAGACTCCAAGACAAGTTTGAATTAAAGAGACGTTGCAAGGAGGAAAAAGCAACAAGTGGTCCCAAAACACTTTAAGCCACATGATCAAACTAAAGGTCATATAGCCGTTGGTGCTATTTTGGTTTTAAGTGTATTTTGGATTTAAGTGAGCTATTTTGAATGCTCATGACCGTTGGCTTTAGGTCTAGAAGTGAGACAACTTGTCTCTTTTATTTGTGTATAAATATGTAACACATACTCATTAATAAAGCTAAGCTCTCACAATTGAGAAACAAAAACACTCTTTGTGGGATGTCTTCCCCTTAGATTAAATCGATTCCTTACACAACAAATTGGGTAGATTAGGATTTGAATATTCTCGGTTTATACCTCCCTCAAATTCTCTTCTATTCCTCTTTCATCTTCTAATCGATTCTCTAAGGGTTTTGGGTGTATGAGAGAGAGTTTGCCTCTCATACTTATTCTTGAGTATACACAGCTCATATTGGCGTGTATAGCTCCTATATTACCTCAAGCACAGCTCACATTGAGTTAGTTTCTTGATGGATTTACACATGAACACACAAACTCAATTTTGGTGTTCTTGTGATTCTCTTTGAGTGAAGCACGAGCTGCTCACTCTCATTTGTCCCAGGCTCATAACCTGGCTCATATTCCGCATATATTCTAACACACATGAGTTATGGGCCTTTGTCGGCCTAATAAAATTTATGAGTTCAAAGCCACTATGTCCTGAATTATGGGATTCCACTGATCCAATAAATTTTATGGGCTCTCAGTCCAACTTTTTTTCAATCTCTTTTTTCAAGAAAATACATTGGGCCGATTGGTAACGACTATTAATTTTCAGAGATTTGACTGTTTTCGCTGTAGAAACTTTTGTTTTAAAGATTTTAACTGTATAAATTTTATAACCGATTGGTAAAGAATGTGACTGTAAAAATTACGATTTTAAATAACTACCAAATATGTGGATCTTAAAAGATCAAGAAAAAAAAATTTAATAGTAAATCAACTGAAATTTTTCAAAAATTAATTTATTTGTGAATGTTATAAGATTTTACATACATATAAGAAAAAGAAAAAGAAAAAAAACTATAAACTTTTAAATCTATTTATTTCTGAAGTCTCATTTATGTCACTTTAAAAAAAAAAACTGAAAACAAAGAGTAAAAAATAAAAAAGAGACTTTGAAGACTTAAAAAATTTTTAAAGCCAAAAAAACTTGAATGGGAAAAAAAGACTTTCAAAACTTTTAAAAACTTTTTAAAGTCTTAAAAGCCTAGTCCAATCACCCCTATTATCCAAGAACTTTCAAGCCGATATTTTTATTTTCATTGTATCGTTTCAATTTCGTCTTAAATTATGTTTGTATAACCTTCCGTTTTTAAAGATTCTAAGTTGAATACAATTTTTTTAACAAAAAAATAGATTAATCATCATATGTTGTTTGCAAATTTGCAGAGTTATCCAAAACAATTATTTCAAAATTATGATATTATTTGCAGAAAACTCATATAAGTTCAGGAATTGGACATTATATTAACTTTCATAAGAAAAAAATATATAAGCTTGAAACATGTTTGTTTTTTTAGTCAGTTTAACATTAGTCCGAACGGATCTCCAAAAATAAAAGGGAAATTGTTAAAAATACCCTTTTTGGTGTGCCCTTTTTCAAAAATGCCCCTTTTAGATGTCCATTTTCAAAAATGCCCCTTTTTAAATCTGAAATTTTTATAAAGTTTTATTAGGTTTATAAGGTACTTATGGATTGTAACTACTACTTGAAGACTCGATCCAAGTATTTATAAGGTTTTATAAGGTGTTTTTAAAGGTTTTACAAGTTATTTTAAAGGATTTTTAAGGTTTTTCAAAGGTTTTACAAGATATTTTAAAGGTTTTTAAAGGTATTTAAAATGCAGTTATAAGGTATTTATAAAGTATTTATAAGATTTTAGATACATAGAAATGTAGTTTGTGTATGTTTTAATAATATTACATACATATTTGGGTAAATCTTATATTTTTAAGAGCATTTTTTATAAGGTTTTTAAAAAGGGGTATTTTTGAAAAGTAAGTATTTTTGAAAAGTAGCATTGAAAAAGTGGTATTTTTGCAAAAGCCCCAAAAGAAAACGTAATTGCAACGATTTTCACTAATATACAAGATTATTTATTTATTTTATTTTTTTTCATCATACAAGATTATTTATTTATGTCCATTTTATTAATATTTTTGATACATGCATCTACAACATAGTTCCAACGGTTTCTACAAAAAAAAAAATCAAAATCCTGTTATGCTTTGAGACCAAGAGTGAGCTCAAGGGACAATTCTTCTTCACCTTTTGAAACTTTTATCGAGTTTAGTGACAAAGTAACATCATCATCATCATCTTCACCAACAACATTACCATCATCATCAATAGCAACAACAACATCACCATTTTCATCATCATCTCTAGTTTTATTTTGCGGAGCCTGTTATATATAAAAAGTATAATATAAAATTATTTATAAATTTACATGTATACTTTTCGAAATCAGATAGACACAAAGATGACTTGCACACATGTTAACACAGTGAAAGAAATGCATTAAAAAAGGATAAATTACCCTTGATGATTCATAGAGAGACTTGCAGGTAAAATAGTCGCTTGGTCCTTCCTTAGTTTCATTACTTGATTCTCCAAATGTTATAATTTTTTCATACATTTCCTCTTCTTGCCTACAAGAAATTTATATTAAGACGATATATAGCTCTGCTTCACGTTAAAACCCTCTATGTATAAACTTAAAACTTTATATATTTATATTAATAACTACACGAACCTTTGGTGATTTTGGAAAAAGTTGGCATTGCCTCGAAGGCGTTGGTAGTTATGAAGGTACTGTTGAAATTGCCACCAAGTTACTTGCCCTGTCACTCTAACACTTCTCTTTGCTAATATCTTTTCTGCCAAAGATTGAATGTGTTTCTATATTATATACATATATATATATATATATATATAATTTAAAAAACTTAAGATGCAAAAGATGTATATATCTACCTTGCATGGATTCTTCCAGCTTGATGCTCCTATACATCTGTTGAAAGTTGAAAAATATATAAGGTTACCAGAATTTATAAAATATGATACTATCTATAAATACACATATAATGATATGTAGTAACAAGAAAGACATGCTTGTGTAAGTAGCTGGATGTATATAAGTGTTAGGACCTGGAGATGACTCTTCACATGTGATATTGTGAGTCCTCTTACATCCATTAACTGCAAAACCATCTTAGGAGTTGCTCCTGCAATTTTAGGGATAAGATTATCAACCAAACTCATTTATCTTGAACTTGAATGATAGGAAATCAAGAGAATTTTTACTATGATCGTAAGTAAAAATTATATAACTTCCCAAGAACAGAAGTTTTGTAATTGATAAAGTAATCTAAAAATGTTGTTCTAATGGCAGAAATTGTGAATGATTTTGAAATATTTAAGAGAGATTATAGTTTTACGAAAAGAGAAAGCAAATCACTTACTATTTTCTCCACCGAGTTGTTCAACGGCTTGAACAAAAGAGTTGTGGAGATCCGAGTTCCATCGCAATCGCGGCACTTTTGATCTAACATAAGATCTAACGATTGGGTTTTTCATCGGTTTTATTTTTTTACTGAAACTCGCGATTTGATATTGTTTGAGAGAAATTCACAAACGTTTCCGGCTAGCTGATTCAAAATTGTTGCAGAAAATCAAAGAGATGAATCCAACTACTAGAGAATTTTCGATTATCAAATAGGCAAGTTTTCATTGACTACTTGTCCTTTGTCTTATTTTCTACTTTTTCATTTTTTTCTAAAAAAAAAAAAAGATATTAAACCCTAAAGAAAGATGATTAAATGCTATTTGTTGTGGCTTGTCATTTTATGCTGCTTTTCTGCTCTTTATATTTTTTTTCCAAAATGGTTTCTTTTTCATGTTTGTCCTTGTGACAACTTCTTAATTAAGAATATCAATTCGTACTATAGTAAGTCAGAATGGTAGCTACCAAATTTTATTCTTTTTCAAATACTTGCAATAACTAAAGAAAAAAACCATATATTGAAAACAACACTTATAAAAAGGCCACAAAGTAAGTCAGACTAATCATATGACCTAAAGCTTCATGTAGCATATAATCATTTTGACCTAAAGCTTGATGTGTCGTAGCATATATCATTTTGACCTAAAATGATTTAGATAACTTAACAATATTCTAACAACAATAAAATGAACTCAAAGAATATATATATACGTTTATATTAGTCACAACTTTCAAAATTGGCAATAAATTTGGTTTAAAAAATCGGTTCTCAAGATTTGAATATATATATTAAAGAAATGTTGAACACATGTTTAATCAATAAATACGTCAAATGATATTAATTAGGGTAGTGTAATGTGTCCACTTCTAAATTTTAATTAGGGAGTAATATTCTAGTAGTAGTATAGTTTTTTAGTTAACTACTTAACTGTGGGTATTAAAACTTTTTTCTTTGGAATTTGAACTTTCAAATATTTTATAAAGTAAAAAGTGACGGACTTTCAGGTTTTGGCATCAATTCTCTGTAGAGGTTTTCAGGTTTTCAAATATTTTGATGCTGTGACAAAATATTGGTCAAAAGACTGAAAAAATAACTACTTTTTAAACGTCGAAATTTTTTAAAAAAACTTCCAGACATTAAAGTTAAACTCTGATAAATTATGAATAAAAAGTATGCATGAACCCCATTTAATGGAAAAAGAGAGATGTAAATAAAAGTAATATCTAATACTATTGTATATGTAATAACTAAAAGATACTAGTATAAATCTAATTAACTAATGTTTTTCAACATATTTGGAAAATAATTTTTAAAAGACAGTATTATTGGCTGTGTGGATCTCCATTCATTTAATATCACAAATTTTTAACCAAAACTTTGGTTTCATTTATGATTACTTATGCAAAAGTATTGATGGTTTATCTTATCTGTCTTTACAGTAAGTGATTTTTCTTACTAATATTTTTTTATACTTATAATAAGCAGAAATATGTCAAGTTTTAAAAATGGTAAATTTATACTTATGTACAAAAGTAATTATGCACACAGAAACAGAAATAGTATTTAATTCTCATTATAGTTTTGTAACTGACGCGACTTCCTTGTCCTTCTAATTCTCTCCAACAAGACAAATAGAATATACAAATACTTATTTTTTTGGCATATAAATAGTTTACATATTTGTCTCCATGCACAGGCGTTACGTTTGAGAGATAAGCGTTGCATGTTTGTTAGCGAACAGATTCAAATTATTCCCATTACTTTATTATAGTCAACTAAAATTCTCATTCCATTTCTCTTTGTCACTTATACTTTCTTTGGTCCATAACAACGTTATCATTTAAATATCACTCATCAATTTCTAGAGAATTGGATTCACATATGTAGAAGACGGTGATACCCATTAACTGTACGTAAATCGTTTTAACTGAAAATGATTAGAAACGCAACATTTACTGACCGCATAAATGATATGTTTGTTCGCAACAGTTAATGTAAATACACAATGGGTTTAAACAAAACCAAAATATATGCACCTTATACTAGATACTTGGGGCCACCAATAGTTTTGCATCTATTCTAGTAGTTTCGGATGCATGTCCTTTGTTATGAATTATGATCATCTTTACACTTTAAGCGACAAAAAAAAAAACTGATGTGAAAACTTAACATAATGGAGTTAATTAGCCAACCAAAAAGTAACTAAATAATATGACGTGCGAGCATATTTGCATGTATGTGAATCCTCATGCGATGACACGTAACACGTTCAAAACAAAAAGTCTCCGTTTCGGATCATAGAATAACAAAAGAAACAACAATATTAATTGTCTATTGTCCGCTGACGTTATATTGATATCTAAATATAAATTCCTTCGGTATCCGAAATATTCATCATATATATATATAGACTTTTTATAATTTATTTTGTTGTAATTAATTTTGTTCTTTCGATAGAAGTCATTTTGTCTACGTCCTTTCTTCTCTTTATTCCAGATATACTATTTATGTCCAAACTAAAGCATGGTTCATACTATATTCAGCATTTACTTTTCATACTATTTTCAGTAAATATCTGATTATTTTATTTTTGACAAGTTTTATTTAAATCTTAGTTAAATTTACTTTATTTTAGTTGATACTTAGTATTTGACTTACCAAGAGAATTAAAGTGCCTAAATTGGATAACAAGGGGACAAAAAAGAATCTGAAACTCTTTTGTGAGGTGTTGCCACTTGGCTAGAATAGCATTTTATTAAATCACACATCTTTACATCATCACGTTTTTCCAACATCGTCGCATTTTTTTATTCTTTGTAACGCATGTATTTTTTCTTGTCAGTTTATCGAAAAAGATAAGGAATGACTTTAATACTATTTTGGAAAAATAGTGTAGTAAAGATATTTTTCTACCGGAATATATAATCTAGTAGCAATTTTAGTTAATCGCATGCAGTGATTGAGCATGGTTAATTAGCATCATAATCGCGTTACATATATATATATATATATATATATATATATATATATATAAATATATATATATATAATTTTGGTCTCAAATCGCATTACATATGCTTCTTCTGTTCTTTTTATCCCAAAAGTGGCGTCGGAAAAAAGAGCCGTGTCTATGTTTTTTTCTTTCTTTTGTTAATTATTTGTTTAAGGTTCTGTTTTTTAACCTAACGGACCTAATAACTTGTAATCAGCTCGGGTATATATATAAACGGAGCTCGTGTTCAAAGTCAAACCCTTGAATCGGATTGTGTTACAGAAGTAGATGTAAACCCTAGTTTTTTTTTTTTTTTATGTAAACCCTAGTTCTAGTAAATTATTGGCTTGCATAAAGTTAATTTCTCTTGTGTACGTACAATCGTTGTTCTTTCATATGTTAGACGTTTTGTTTCATTCTGTTCTTGAATATAATTATATATCAGGAATCAGGTTATATACTAAGTTCTGCTCTAAATTTATTGCAACACCCTTAATTAGAGAGATCAAATTCCGCTGTTTTTTTTTTTTTTGTGTATTAACCACAACATGCTCGAAGCCTCGAATATATATATGTGTGTGTGTGAAAATACATACTAGAGTAGTATTTTATAATAAAAAACAAAAAATAAAATCAACATTTATTTGATTTAAATTCAAATAGCTTAAAATAGACCTAAGCTCAGCAAATTATTTTGACAATTTAATGCGGAAATAGTTATGCGGCCCATTAGCCAACAAAATTAGAAAGATGGATCAGTGATTCTAAATGTATAAAGCCCAAATCATATACTTTCTTTTTTTGGTCGTAACCCCTAATCATATATACTAATATTCTATTCTATTTATAGGACTTACGAGGAAAGAGATATGGAAGATCTCAGAATAAAAAGAGTTATCGTAATGATATACTAAAAAGGAGTTAGAATTATGATATAAAAAAAAGGGAGTTAGAACATATTAATATCTTATCTAGTAGCTACAATGGTTAATATGATCCTTATTAGTTAATGTTTAAATTTAATCTTCCCACTAATTTAAGCATAACTATATATATTCTACCACCATTAAACCAATCCATATAAATCTCTTTTTAAAGCTTCTAGAAATCAGTCTCACACATCAGAAATTAGCATTTTCTTATTTTATTACAAGAAGAAAGAAAAACATGTGTTACTCTCATTTTGCCACATGCATTATAACGTTTAGGTAGGTGAATCACCTAATTTCATAACTTGGTGAGCTTATGTAATTTTAATTAACTCTACCTATAAGGCTATAAGACCATGATTATTAGTAAACTTTTAGCCAAATCTTAGATAAATCTTAAGTATTAAAAAGTATTTAATTAAATGGCAAATGGTAAAATTGGTAAGAAAAGTTTCTTAGTTAAGAGCCAAAACATGTTTGTAAGAGGTAAATCTTAAGATTTTTATACTAAAAAATTACTAAGAACCATTGTTAAGAAACATTTGATAATCATGCTCTAAGTATGCTTTAAATTAAGATATGGGGACCAGAAAAGTAAACAAAGAATCTAACTTTAGAAAAATGCTTGCATTAAAAAGAATATATTTCTTTAACAAGAAAAAATGAGTATATCAATAATATCATAATATATATATTTTATTGGAAATCCAATATAAAAATATGATCTCATTTAATTATAATTTATAAGTTTATTGAACAAAAAATTACGTGTTAGTATTTTTGCAATTTATTCCACCATGTGGCAAAAAAAAGGAAACCATTAATCAAAAAAATTTATTGGTTCTGCCAAAATTGACTAATGATTTTAAAAATAAATTCATCCAATTAAAAACTGCCACGTCATAAAATTGGACCAGAATATTCGCAGTTGCCAAAAACAAAACAATGTGTCTAGGTTCAATGAATCTGGAATCACCTGCTTCTTCGAATTTTTGTTATATAATTCTCACAAATCATCTTGAAAAAGAAAATAAAAAACGAAGAAACAAAACAAATCTTACAGAAAAAAGATCGAATTTTTGCTGTGAAAATGGCAATGTCTGTGAATGTTTCTTCTTCTTCTTCTTCTGGGATCATAAACTCTGGTTTCTCTCGTTCCGGTGCTTCATCGGAGCCAAAAGGTAAAATTTAGATTCAATTCTGAGAAATTTCAAATTTTTCGTCCGAAATCTGAGAAATTGTTTGATGGGTCAATGTGGGTTTTGATTATTACATATGAAATTTGATTAATTTGGATATGAATTGCTAAAGTTTCGTTTTTTTTTTCTTATTTGATTCTCACAGTTTCGCAAATCGGTTCGTTGAGGTTATTTGATCGTGTTCATGTTGCTCCGGTGTCTCTGAATCTATCTGGGAAGCGATCATCATCTGTTAAACCTTTAAACGCTGAGCCAAAGACAAAGGATTCAATGATTCCTCTTGCTGCAACAATGGTAGCAGAAATTGCAGAGGAGGTTGAAGTCGTTGAGATTGCAGAGCTTGCAAAGAAGCTTGAGAATGCTTCACCTCTTGAGATTATGGATAAAGCTCTTGAGAAATACGGGAAAGATATTGCTATTGCATTTAGGTATATAAGTCAATTCAATCATGACATTTGATCTGTTTGTTTAATTTGTGAAAAGATTGCTGATTTTTTTGGTTTGTTGTGTTTGCAGTGGTGCAGAAGATGTTGCTCTAATTGAGTATGCTCATTTGACTGGGAGACCATTTAGAGTATTTAGTTTGGATACAGGGAGGTTGAATCCCGAGACGTATCGGTTTTTCGATGCGGTGGAGAAACACTATGGGATTAGAATTGAGTATATGTTTCCTGATTCTGTTGAGGTTCAAGGTTTGGTTAGGAGCAAGGGATTGTTCTCTTTCTATGAGGATGGTCATCAGGAGTGTTGCCGTGTTCGAAAGGTGAGACCTTTGAGGCGTGCTCTTAAGGGCTTAAAGGCTTGGATTACTGGTCAGAGGAAAGATCAGTCTCCAGGAACGAGGTCTGAGATTCCGGTGGTTCAGGTTGATCCTGTGTTTGAAGGTTTGGATGGTGGAGTTGGTAGTTTGGTGAAGTGGAATCCGGTTGCGAATGTGGAAGGGAATGATGTTTGGAATTTCTTGAGGACTATGGATGTTCCGGTTAACACATTGCACGCGGCAGGGTATATATCGATTGGATGTGAGCCCTGCACAAAAGCGGTTTTACCGGGCCAGCACGAGAGGGAAGGGAGATGGTGGTGGGAAGATGCTAAAGCCAAGGAATGTGGACTTCACAAAGGGAATGTCAAGGAAAACACTGCTGATGCTAATGTAAACGGGGAATCGAAATCCGCTGTTGCAGATATCTTTAAGAGTGAGAATCTTGTAACTTTGAGCAGGCAAGGGATTGAGAATTTGATGAAGTTAGAGAACCGTAAGGAGCCTTGGATCGTCGTGCTTTATGCTCCGTGGTGCCCCTTTTGTCAAGCCATGGAAGCATCGTATGATGAACTGGCGGATAAATTGGCTGGAAGTGGGATTAAGGTTGCGAAATTCAGAGCAGATGGTGACCAGAAGGATTTTGCTAAGCAGGAATTGCAGCTTGGTAGCTTCCCGACCATACTTGTCTTCCCCAAGAACTCATCAAGACCGATCAAGTATCCGTCTGAGAAGAGAGATGTCGATTCTTTGACTTCGTTCTTGAATCTAGTCCGATAAATAAACCACAAAACCAGTCGACATTTCTATGAGGAATAAGAAGTATTTCTTCATCTCGTTCCAGATTGCTAGAACAGATGAAGTTGGTGTTTGGAGAATCAGTTCAAAGCTTTAGATCACAGAGTCAGAGATAAGCTCTGCAACAAAGCTTGTGTAATGGCAGTATTGTAAGATTATAAGTTGCAATAGTGTTGATTCTTCATGTAAATGTGTGGTTATTAGTATCAAGCCCCTGTTTCTTCTTTGCATTCATTTTTCAGTATAGAGCTAAAAAGTTGATGATTCGTAAAATCAAGATCGTAGTTCTTCGCATTCATATCAAATTATCATCAAAAACTAATATTTACATGAAAGCTGAGATCTTCAGGAATCACAACCAGAGAATATAGTAAAATTGATGATTCTCCATGAAATCTCTGGTTAATAGTAAAATCAAGATCCTACTTCTTCGCATTCATATCAAATACTAAGATCACTTCAAAGCTGAGATCTTCAGGAATCAGAACCATAGTAAACAATGCTAAGTAACTGATTATTCTCCATACAAATTTGTGGCTTCAAGAGAAATCAAGCTTTAGTTTCATATCAAACTACCATAAAATACAAAGATTTACCTCAAAGTTGAGATTTTTAAGAATCGAAACCAGAGTAAACACCACTCTCTCTCAACTGTCTCTTCTCTTCTTCAACGTAATTCTTGCCTCTACTGGCTTGTCCCAAATCTCTCTTCTTCTTCTCCTTCTGTGAAAAAGAGAGATTCTTCCTATCAGTCCGCAACTGCGCATTCTCAATCGTCTCACCACCTGTAACCGCAGCTCTTGTAGCTTCTCGTTCTCTATAACTCTCTTTCACTTCTTCTACTCTTTTTGTATCCTTTCCCGTAGCCCATGACCAATCCTGTTTCTCCATGGGAGCAGAAATATCAGGAAGACCAACAGCTTTGTAACCATGCTGCTGCAGAGATTCATAGTCAAAAGCTTTCTTATCTTTCTTCGCAAACCTCGCTGCAACCGTAAAAGACAAAGTTACATAAGAGAGATCCCATCTCACAAAGTTAAAAGAAGAAGAACAATGAAGTTTTTCTCCTACCTATTGGCTTCTTGCTCTTTCTCTTCTTCTTCTTCACAGTCTCTGTACTATTATCCACATTTGAGTCAGAAGCAGAAGACGATGATGATTCCTCGGATGAGTCATCATCATCATCATCCCATCGCATCAAACCTTTCTTCATGATAAGAACTCTGACATAGAACTAAATCTCCGTTAGTCCAATTTACAAACCAAAAAGCTCATAACTTCAAGAGAGAAAGTAATGAACTTTCTTGAATTTCTATCATCAATAAGAGGAGGATTCACATAAGTCATTTCCCAATAAGACAAACTCTTCCAACAATTCGAAAACAAATCAAGTACGAATCTTTGTAATCGAAATTGATAAACCCTAAATTGAAGTGACGGTTCACGAAGATGCCACAAATCCAATTAGAGCATAACATCAGCTTCCTACAACAATCATACCTAGCCGGTGTAGTCGACGATTGCAGGAGCTCGATTCGCGGCGGAGACTGCGACAGTCGCAAGATCAGAAGCGATACTCGGGTCCCAAGTCCCGTAGAACAACCAAGAGAACAATAAAAGTCAAGTCAAATTTTTTTGGTTTTGATTTGGTTTGGTTTTCTTTCGGTTAAGTCAATTTCTATGATTTTTTATCGGTTAAGACAAGTGAGAAATTTTACCAATGTATTTCATCGGTTTATTCATGGCAATTGATAAAATATGCAGAGGAAACAGAACAAAGAAGATAGAGTCAAATTAGATCTAAAGATAGAAACTTGTTTCAAATCCATCTTCAAAAGCAAAAGAGAGAGTGAGAGCTCAAAAGGTAAAGCCCAGAAAGTAAAAAGACATTATTAAAATCGACGAATCAGTGCCAAAGCTAGAGAATGTACAATCATCAAGAATCGTAGAAGCAAGCTGATTAGCAGACAGATCCAAATGTGTTCTCTCCACTGTATGTCATGTAGAGAAACCCATCTTCGTCTTTGTGTTCTTCATAGATTGCAGACATCAATGCAGCTATTTGTAAGAACCAGAAAAGAGAGAAACCAAATTAATACAGGAATCATAGAAGTTGAAGATTCACACAAGGTTTATAAATCCTTTACCGGTTGGGGGTAGTGTGTTCTTGACAAAGACAAAGATGGCTTTTTCGGCTCCAAGCTTGATTCTTTTCCTCACAACGTACACAAACTGGCCAACAGTTAGATCAGCTGGTACAAGATACCTAAAGAGAAGAAACAGGATCAGCAAAAAACCAACAAATTAGAATGCTATGCAATTCAATATGTATCTAGAAACTGCTACCAAAGGACAAGCTTTGAAGAATGAGAACCATATAATGATTAGAGTATAAGCGAGACTCAAATTCTATAACACCAAAACAGAACATCCCTTGCAATGACTAACTCATCAGCTAGTGATTAAAAGAGTGTGAATGAATATCAATAAGAGGATTACCGGAACAAATCACAATTCCATTAGGCTCAAAAAGAGATTGAAAGCTAATTTGCGATTTGATACCATTATGACCCAACAAGAGAGATAGAGAAAATATGTATAATTTACTCACTTCTTCTTGTCAATGTCAGGAACATCACTCTGTCCAGCCTTCTCCACAATCACCTGTATTCAGTTTCTAATTAGAAACATAAGCTAACATTATATAGATTTTGTTCCGTAAAGGGAAAGTTTAGAAAACATACAGGAACTCTGTCAGGGTATTTCGCTCTGATACGAGTAGATTCAGCCATTCTCATCTCTGAGATCAAAACAAAACCATAAATATTCAGTCACAGCTAACGGATTAGACAAACACATGAACACATTTTGCAGCTTAATAACATGCAAATCAAGTAACTTCCAGTAAAATTCCAGAGGCAGAAAGTACTAAATCTTTGGAGAAACAGAGTAACCAATATCAAAGATCGAATCAGAACCAAATCATAACCAACAAACTCTTGATCAGGATAATCAAAATTGAGTTGCTCAAACAAAGATCAGAATCATTAACACAATCCAAAGCAAAAAAAAAAGATCGAAAGAAACAAAGAAGTAAACATTATTAACAACAATTCTTTAAATCGAGTGACATCAATAAAGCAAAAAGTTATTAAGAGTAAGAGAAGAAACTAACCCAGAGGATTAGAGAGCTTGAAGGAGTTCTTAGCCATGGCGATCCGATTAGTATCTGCGATGATTAAGGAAAAAAAATCAAAACTTTATCTGTTAGGTTAAATCGGGATAAAAAACCCACAACACAAAAACTCGAAATTGACAAAGTGGAGAGGCGAAATCAAAACATACCCAATAGAAGAAACTAGGGTTCGATGATCAGAGAGGAAAAAAAATTGGATTTTGATTGAGAAAAGAAGAAGAGGATCAAAAAAAAGAAAGAAGGAGAGAATATATATAAAGGAATCAGAGGATGGATTTAGGGTTTAGTGATTGTTACCTGCACGGCACCCAAACTTATTACTTGGATTTTAATTATTTTACTTTAATTTTTAATTAACTTGGAAGGAAATTAGTTACGATGTTTATCTTACGTCAGCGAGACCATACGACGTCGTTGATTGTATTGGTGAGTTTGTGAGCTATTCGTTGGGCCTTTATGGGTTTGGCTCCATATTGGGCTTTATGTGTCTTTTATATTATCACGATTAGAATTTTAATTTGGCAATGGTTCCGATTGATCACCTCCTACCAATCATAAAAGCATAAAAACGGTGTTGAAAACGGTATTTTTAATTTTATTTTTTGGTAGTTACTTTTTAATTCTCTCGATTTCTTCTCTAATCCTTTCGATTTCTTCTCAAATCCCGATTTAATCTTAGTTTCTTAAGATTTCTTCTTTCGATTCTGATTTTGTGCCTTAATTGGCTTTGTCAACGAGATTAAATTTAAAATCAACATAAAATTGAGAATTTTAATCACTAGGTACAAAATTCATGATTTAAATCAACAAAAATGAACAACTGATGATTTAAATGACATTTTTCCGTTTTATTTTACCAATAATATACTAATATAATTAATCTTTGTTTCTACTATCAAATATCAATACAAAATCCATGTACTTTCACTCTCTTCTTTTTCTTATATAAAAGCATTTTTTTAGTTTAATCTCTAATGTGATGTTTTCTCGTTACATTATTTTCTTCTCTCGCTATCACATAGTTCTAACTTTTAAGTATTTTTTTTTTTTTCTGTATGAACCATTTATCTATCCTACTATCCACCGCATTGCATTGTAGAACACTTGTTTTAACTGTAATCAAACAAACAAAGCATTCAAAACTATTCATCAAAGATTTCTAAAGAAAATCATGGATTCAATTCTTTATATGTACAACATTGATGAAGGGATAAAATATATATCGATTGATATGGTTGAAAACTGTCTTCAGAATTGTAAACTCAGCATTTTAGGGCTTATTTCTTTTTGCATGAAATCGGCTTAATTCTGATTTTAGACTTAATTAATGAATTTGTGATAGTAGCAGAAGAAGATAGACAATTACACATAGCTAATGTTAACATAGAATTAAAGATATCTAATTAATATATAACATTGATTGCAAACGACAAAAACTTTCACCAAACATGGTGAAGAACTAACTCGAAGTAGCTCCAATTAAAGGTTCTAACTTCTAAAGGATATCCCCTCTCTAGGCTCTCTAAAAAAATATCATTAAAAAAAAAAAAACACTTCAAAAGAGAAACCAAAACACAACAGAAGAAAATAAAAGGGGGCCCGTGCATGGGGCTGACAAGTCATCATCATCACTATGATACTTATCTACTCTAAATAACACATTGAAAAATAATAACAATAATAAAAAAAAACTTAACAAAAAGACTCTTGGTATAGTGATCCCCACATGATGATGACGACAATGACATTGATAATGATGATGATGTGGATACCATAAAGTTGAGTTTTTCATGATGATAATGTTAAACAGTAGTTATATTGGATTCATGCTCCATGCGCATGGATGATGATGATTGTGATGATGATGAGATATTATATCCTACTTACTCCAAGAATCCAGTTTTTGACAAGACAGCATTTCTCACTTTGCTTAGATCTCTTCCTTTAAGAGTTCTTCCAACTCCTTCACACATAGAGAAAGAAGAGATCTGTGTTCTTGCTAGCTTTCTTGCAACCCATTCATGTGGAGGAACCATGCAACCATCATCATCTTCCTCATCATCGTCAGCATCATGATAATGCAAATGGCTACTCCTTCTGTTGCTCTTTGAGTCACCATAAACCTTGGACCAATCAGGGACATTCATAGGTGCTGATGACTGTTTTACTCCAGAGACCTCCTTGCTTCTATGAATGTTCCACGGTGAAGATGAAGAAGAAGATGAGGAAGAGAAATGACTTTTGGGTATTTTCATTTCAGGACCTGAAGTTTCTCCTTCTCTCAGAACTGACCACACATCTTCTTCTTGAAACTCTTCTTCCCCTTCTATTCTCATTGAAGGAACCCGACGGCTATTATGTGTCCTTCTTCTTGATCCTGAATCCATTGAGAGAGAGAGAAATCAAATCACCAGTTGATATAATAAGTAGAGGGCTAGGAGAGAAACTCTTCAACTACTAGTGAAAGTTTTCTTGCTTTTTAAAGAAGATGTTGTCGTTGATGTTGTTATTTTCATCAAGTGAGAATATATATTAAATGTGAGAGAGAGATAATCACAAAATGAAATAGAAAGAGAAAAGTCATATACATATTAATAGAAGAAAGCTTCAAAGATTATTTACAAGAGCCTCTGAAAGAGACAGAGGTTTCAGAAAACTCCAAAAGTTTATTACTTTTGTACTCTTCTTTTTTCTCTGCAATAATTTGTGCTAAAGACCTAAATGCTTCTAAAATTAAATAAATCAACAGTTACATTACACAACTTACAAGAGTACGTAGCCTTTAGTACTATTTTCTACTGCGACCTGCCAAATCATTGACAGAGTCTGATTCATACAATAAGACAAAAATTTGTACTATATGAAAAGACTTGCTTTTATGTCAAATTATATTTACTTTTTCCGGTAAAAATTTTAAAGAACTACGACAAAAATCAATGTTATCCCAAAAATAAGAGGACGAAATTAAATTTAACTCGAAAGTGCCTTTAATGACGTTACCTGATTAGAGTTTTACTTACCATCTTATCCATAACGAAAAGCGAGTGAGAGAGAGAGAGTGAGAGATCACTTATTGCATTCAATTTACGTACGATTTAATAATTAGGTTAGGTTCTTCGTTTTATTTACTGTGTGAAAATGAAACTATTGAAAGAGTGTAATACACAATAAATAATATTTTGAAAACACTAAAAGATCTAAGAAATGCATGTTCATATATTAGCTTGCCAATGTTTATAACAATTTATTATATGTTCTGGTCGTGTGATAGATTTATGGATTTAGAGAAAATAATGTTTGTTTTTATGTTTTTACTTGCATAATTTAAAATTTCAACTTGATTTATGAATTTTGGGAAATAAGATACAATTGATATACATATTCTATTAGCTTCTTTAGTAATTGACGTAAGAATATGATACTGCAGCATCATGGCAACTAGAATCTAAGTTATGTCTTGTCCTAACTCCTAAGAACAAAATACTGAAATACACACATAGATACATTAAACTTGCACAAAAATGTCAAGACAATGTCTCTATCCATTTTTTGTCAACCAAGACAAAATCATGTAAGAAAATAAGAGCACATACGAAAAAACATAAAAACAACAACATATTAAAAAAAGTGACGAATTAGAGTTTCGATAGATCATACAGATCACGAATGTTTTGGGACAAAAAAAACAGCATATAAGTTTTTGTACCAACCATATATATACTTATATATATAATATATGGTTCTAGATGATTTAACAAATGGTAACTAATATAGGTTTATGGAGTAGTCAGTTAGTAACTACACCAACTCTAATTGTTGTAATTAGAGAAAAGTCTATATTGTAACTACGAACAATACTTAGGTTTACCCCTGGGGTG